ATATATACACATTTTTTGAAACATATTTCTCTATAGCGTCCTTACATACAAGGAGCATTTCTCAGAATCTCCTGTCCAGGCCAAGATATCCTACAGCCAACAGAGCAGACATACACAGCCCAGCATTAATATAAATACTGCAGGAACCCGGCACAACCTCTAATGCCTTTTACAAAGTGGCTTATTGTGTAGCTGTATGTTTGTGCCTTATGTAACTAAAGAAGCATCCGAGCAAAAGGGGGGTTACGCAGATTTCTGAGTCATCCCAAGCCTGGCGGTTGTTGGGACACTTTTCTGTAGGGTAGCAACGGGGCGAGTCGGAACAGACCGGAGGCAGTGTGAGGGCGGGAGGTCTACGGGAGTCAGTGCTGAGAAATAAAGCGTTCATTCCTGTGGTCAGACCACAGATGAAGGGAGAGAAATGGGGGGTCGACGTTGGTTGGTATTGTGAGCTCTGTACAAACACCTCACACTTTGCGCTTTCTGTGCTGCAGAATATGATGCGAGATCCCTGCAAAGCCGAGCTCTAATGATCACCGAGATGCGCCGGCTAATCATGGAATTTTCCATCTCAGCGGCAGAGCATGTCCCTGTGTATATAAGCTGTATATAGGATACCTTTTCATTGTAACATATGTCAGTGTTCTTTTGTTGAATGATTATCTAACACGGGTTACCAATACAGTTATGTAATAAGAATTACAAAAATTGATTCATTGAGACCAATTCTTTAGAGCTGTAACCCTACCAATAATATCCAAGCAGTGAGCCTGATTACACTCATTCATTGCAGCTCCCAGAGGGATGTGTCATGCGAAGGGTCAATGCACCCAAAATTGATATTTCAGATGTCAGTGTATGCTGAAGAGTTCAGAAACCAGTCACAGCCCTGGGCAGTTCAAGCAGAGCATGAGATTAAACAAAAAAGGAACAGAGATCTCCTTGAGTGAAAAACGCTCGTCAAAATGTTCAGGAGATCCAGAGTTACAGGCAGCTGAAGTTACATCCAAATCTGTTTCTATAGAAGTTGGCCATGCCCTGTTCCTCTTTTAACCAGTTGACATCCGCGGTGTTAAACCCCCTTCCCATCCAGACAACGGTCGGCAACCCGCAAATGCAGCAGTGCCGTCCGTCCATTTTTTTACTATGGGCGGACGGCAAGAGGTTAAAGAGAATATTAGCGGTCCTTTAGAGCAGTGGTTCTCAACCTGTGTAACCTCAGGACCCACATTTGTTCTTGGTCATTAAGTGGCGACCCAAGTCTCACCGCACGGTACCACACTTTCCAGTGCAGGCGATCGAACTGTGGACAGGAGCTCCTTTTGGGGTGCCATTCAAATGAATGGCAACCCAAAGCACCTCCCACACCAGAACGCATGGTAGGTGCGATTGTGTGGTACAGTGCGTTAATTGCACGGGACTGTGTGTGATTGTGTGTAGGGATGCACAGATACTTTTCGAGTACCAGTGCCGATACTTGGCATTTTCATGAGTACTACCAGGCTTGCAGCGGTTGCAGCGGTTGCAGCTGGGACCGGGCTCTGGCTCTCCGCCACTGTCCTGAAATCATTAGTCTGTATTGTTTTAGAAAAAATGTCACATGACAATAAACAAAAATGTATCAGTACTCGTACGTACTCGGCAAGTATCAGTACTCGTACTCGCAAAACTGGTATCTGTGCATCACTTTATTTATATTTATAAAAACAAAATCGTACATTAAAACAGAGATGTACAAATCCCGGGAGCTCCGTGTGCTCCTTACAAATGACAGCGGCCTCCTAATTTTTGAATTTTTCTCTAGTGTAGTCTTGGAGCTCAAAAGTATCGGTACATGTACTCGTACTTGTACCGAGTACTGTACTTGGTATCTGTGCAACCCTAATTGTGTGAATGGGCCCTCAAAAACACTGACAGACACACACAACCACAGATGCAATCTCACACATTGACAGACATTCTCACACACTCATACACACTCCAAAAAAGATTTATTTCTTTTTTTTTAAAGATCCACCCAGTCTCTCTACCTTATGAGAACTGAAGTGAATCCTCAGCCTGGGCTAAAGTGTGGGCTGCTGCGCTGTGACGGAGCTCCATCCATATGTGCATTGCTTGTACAGTTCTCTTGCACGTCCTGTAGAGGTGCCGGGAGCCAGAATGTGATATCACACCGGTCCAGGGACCACTATAGGGCACATGAGGTTGCTGTAAGCAATGCAGGTATGGATGGAGCTCCCACTTGGTCATACCCTCAGCACTACCCACCTCAAGCTGACACTCGGCACTGGGCAGTATATTTTGAATGGCTGCTTGGCGCGAGAACTGACAGTGCTGCGCTAGGGGGAGGCTATTCTACCTTCTGAGGTTTGTGAAAGGTTTACTGTATTGATCTCCCTCTAATGGAGATGCAGAAACCCGCCGTGCCAGCCCCAGGGCCCACGTGGGAGACAGCGGAGCCTGGAAAAGCTGGCAGTGATGGTGGGGCAAAGGAGGCACCATACAAGCAAAAGGGCGGCTCCATAGGCGCCCGAACGCTTGTATGTGACAGCCATCGCCGTGATTTTGGCATAACCATTTCAGGTTCCCATCGTTTATATAGCGGTTGAGCCAGCTAACAATTTCATGTCATTTGGAGCTCCTAAGGCAGGAACAGAGGCTGGAACTATGTGAAAGAAAGCTCATTGCCAAGCAGCTAGTGGGTGACTAAGCTAGCTGACTCCACCTATATTTAATTACTACTTGAAGGTGGACAGACCCTTTGGGGAAGAACAAAAATGATACATAGAGCCAAATACACACCATGTTCAAAGCTCAGTTGGGGACTGCTTCAGCAAGAACCTGTGGATTCTTGCAGCAGGAATCCCAGGTGGGTCCGTACAGATACGGCTGCTGTGCTCATTCAAGTTAATGACAGGCTGACAGAAGCCACATTGGTCTATAGCTATCCACAAGTAATAGTACATGGAACAATTACCTGCGGATCGGGAGAGATGCAATCTCTCTGCGTCCAGGGGTAAGCATCTAACCAGATCCACAGGTAATTGTTCCATGTATGATTACATGATAGCCACGGACAGATGCAGGTGCTGCCAGCCAGTCAATAACTGGAATGGGCACAGCAGCCGCATCTGTATGGTCCCACTTGGGATTCCTGCCACAGGTTCTTGCCACAGCAATCCCTAGCAGCAGCTTGTAATGCCATGTGCATAAGGCATAACTCTGAAACAATTTGAAGTCCACTGATATTCCATAAATATTATTAAAGTACTTTAACACATACAGTATATTCCAGGCATCCATGGATTGTGTGGTACCTGTGCCAGAAGACACGTGACATCACGCTCTAGGGTGTTATATTGGAGATGTTAACAGGTCCTTTTCTGCTCCTTGTGTGGTGCTGTCACCGTGGTGAAAAAGGCTTAGAATGCCACACATAGTTGGAAACAATGCCGTGTTCAATGAGCAGGAAATGATCTGAAGCAGTGTACCATGGATACGATAAGAAGGGACTTCATTATTAAGCACACGCCACTGCCAAAGTCTTAACATAGCACATATGAAGAGGTGAGTCATGGAACAGTAACTTCTCCTTTAATGGTTCTAGCTGCAGGGGATCCAGAATGAAGATGTTCACAAGGGGTGACTGTCTACTAAATGATCCGGGATCAATATTGGAACATGCAGCTTCTTCTTTTTCTTTATTTCTATATCTATAGCACTTGGGAGGTGAGGCAGCGACCTTGGGCATACTCAGTTGAGCCAACTAACCTACCCGCATGTCTTTGGTGTGTGGGAGAAAACCCACACAGGCACTGGGAGAACATGCAAACTCCATGGACATAGCGCCTTGGACAGGGTGTGCACTGAGGACCCCATTGCTGCAATGCACAAGTGCTAACCAATGCTGCCCAATCCCATACTTTCCAAGCTTCTGAGATTAGAAAGAAGGACACCTTCCAGCGCAATGTATGTAGGCAATGGACACAGCCCTGCCATGCAACCAGTAATGCGGACCGTTAAGAATTTATTTGACGAAAACCCCAAATTGTTTGTTTTATTCTACACCATTACTTTTCCTTAATACTCTCTTTGCTAAATAGCAAGCAAGATAATTAAGAAATAGGATGGAGGTTTTAGTTTAGAACAGGGGTAGGAAAACTGTGATACAACTACAAATCCCATGAGGCATTGCAAGACTCTGACAGCCACAGGCATGACTCCCAGAGGCAAAGGCATGATGGAATTTGTAGTGTGACCAGAGCTGGAGGCCCAGAGTTTGCCTACCTCTGGTGTAGAACAACACTTTTGGTAGTTAAAGGGAACATTTTTATAGATTTCTGCACATCAAACCAAAAGGGGGACAACTGCGATGGAAAGAGAAACAGAGGGGTTTGGTTCCAAAAGAAGGACAGTCCCTCCAAATGAGGGACAGTTGAGAGGTATGAAATCCATGTACACAGATTTCATACTAAGGCATTCAAATAGCACACAAGCAATTCCCCAAGCACCCATCAGAAATTGCTGATCAAAAACCATGGTCCTTGTCTATGCATTTCACTTTAAATTCTAAATAGTAAAATCCATAATTAAACAAAACAAAAAAATATGACCATCCGCTACCCCACGCTTCACTTTTTTGCCCATTAGCAGTAAACTAAATGATTCGAATGTTTAATGCCAAACGCCACGTCTCCCAGCCTGGCCGAAAGCAGGTGGAAAGCAAGACTTTCGTAAGGATCTGCAACTCAAGTATCCATGTGCTTGTGATTTCCAAGTTCTCAGCTTGTGGCTGACCATCTGTTACTCTGTCTAGTTGCCTTATACGAATGTAGACGAACATTTCCTGAGCACATCTTACTTTATATACCAAAATATATAGGACAAAATTGTTACTAGAGACCACAAAGCAAACAGCAGGAAGAGCACAACAGAAGGGATGCATGGGCTACAGGTTTTCATGTAACAGGAGATATACTCTGCACACGGAGCACATGCAGAACATGCCCAACATTGATGGAAAGAGAAAGAAGACAGCAATGACCAAGGACATTCAGTGGTGTGCAGAAAAAGGCAATGCTAAGCACTTTGGTCTTGCGGAGCTGACAACCCTGGCTCAATTCCCACCAGATGATGCCATATCTGAATGGTGCTTGTGTGTACTGCAAACATTACCTCCCAACTTTATGAAATGTCAAAAATAGAAACATTATAGCACAACATATGTAGGAAAAGGACAAGCCCCTACCACACCTCCAGTCATGTGGACTATGAGGACTAATGTGCAAAACATTATGGGTTTAACCCAAAATTGCTCTTATTCATCACTATATTTTTGTTCTATTTCGGCTTTTCAAAAATAACAAATTTAAAAATGTGAAGATTAGTAATACGTTTTAGTGCAGTAAAACATTTAATAGTTAAATCATTTGTTTGTTTTAGACATCTGTAAATTAGACCAACAAAGAGGGACAAGTGAGGAAGGATGAGGGACAGACGGATTTGGATCCAGAAGAGGGACATTCCCTCCAAATGAGGAACAGTTGGGAGTAGTGATGAGGCTGAGCTTGGTGTGAACCCAGTTAGCCCAAGTTCACCCAAGCCCACTCAGAACTCTGACCGCCACCCCCTGCTCCCAACCCATCAGTTGCGGGGAGGTGCATTCCCTTGTCCCGCAGCTACCCATCACAAAGGGTTGGGGAATGCCCCCACTGCAACTGCCATCATGGATTGGGTCCGGAGGAATGGTGGCGATCAAAGTTTTGAGCAGGATTGGGCAAAATCAGGCACACTGATTAAGCCCGGCCTCACCTCTAGTTGGGGACTATCTAGTAAGCTTGCCATACACATCTAGTTTTTCCAAATTCCGCCCGCAAGCTAAACAAAAAAGAAAGTTTGATTCCCCTATCCACACTAAACGGCATGGATGGAGTAATCTCCCATTGACAGCTATTGTATTCAAGCAGCCACGGGAGCTGCAAGATTGGCTGCAGTCACTCTTGGCCCATATTTTTCCTCCAGGCTCCATTGATTTTTGTGGAGCTGGTGGGGCCAACAGGGCCACCTGGTGCTCAAATTTCAGACAATTCACAGGAGTCGGACAAAATTTTGGCCATGCACGGACATTCGGCTAACTGGCTCTTATTTGTGTGTGCGTATGTTGTAGGTAGAATCTTGCACCGTAAGCTAGTTTAGCGCCAAGGTCTGCTATATAAATGAATATAATAAATCATTTCCAGGCAATTTTCTTTTCCCCACGCAAAAACCTTTTCAAGGGAAAAATCAGATCTACAAAGTCATCCGCAGCACAAGTAGCACGCTCCTGCTGGCCGGAGCTGTAAGACTATATCCCAGGTTTATCCTTGTTTCTATTCAGAAATAATCAGGTGGCAGTAACACAGATAAACACATGACAAAGCGAAGAAGGAGATCTTACCTTGGTGTTTGAAATTCTTTCCGGTCCGCTGACCCCAGACTCTGTAAGACAAGAAAGATCCTTTTAGATATGGTGTGTATGGAGGATGAGGAGGAAATTCCACATACATTCCTAACTTGAGAAAGGATTAACTTAATGGTTCCCAACATTATTAGAGGGAAACTATACCCAATTTTACCCCCCTTCTGCTGACCCTAACATACCATGTATTTGGCACATCGTGAGGCCCTCTGATAAACTTAGGTGGAAGCATGGACTCAAAGCAATGACATCAACGCATCAGAATCCCTGGGCAGGTGACAGGTTCCGTGATAACGTGCATGTATAGATCAACAGTGTTTGCAGTTTTAACACCAAGGTCATTAATCTTACATACTCTTAGGGAAATAATAAACAGGCATAGAACAGGTCTTTCATTTACATCGTGAACATAGACTATCACAGTACATCTGACATCGCCGGCCTCGCCAATTCAATTCTATGCACTCTGGCCTTGCACAAATCATGAGTGGCTTTTCATTATCAAGACATTAGCTAGGAACACTGCTTGGGAGAAATCAAGGCTGTGCTCATGGAAACCTATCATGAGAAAAACATAAAAGCCGCCATTGATTAGCTCTCCATCTGAAAATGCTATTTGCTTGGCTTTTCATGTTGACCCACTTGCTTTAAAGTTGTATTAAACTCTCAAACTATATTACAATAATGAATCCAGATAAATCAGATATACATTGCCCAGCAAATTATTTCTTTACATTGTTGCCCAGACACTTACACGTCATGTTTCAGAACAGCCGCAACTCTCTTAGCTCAGCTTCCCTAAACTTCCTGTCAAGTACAAGATCACAAGGGACAGTACAGACTCTAGCAGCCGTCCATCTACTAGACTGAAGAAGGGAGGAAGGATTAGAAGGGAAGCAGAGAGCAGGGGTGTCCCGAGGCCAGGTGTCACCAAGAGCGGAGACCGGGTGACACCCCACCGTGACGTCATCACGCACGAGTGTGATGTCACTACGCGCGTGCGCTATGATGTAATCGCACATGCACGCCCATCTAATTGGAGCCTGCCGCCGTCCTTGTTAGTTATGGACGCCGGCAGAGAGAGGAAGGGACGGGTTCCCTCCTCTTTTCTGACACTGTCGGGCTCTCAGTCCATGAACGAGTGCCCGATTTTTTAGAGTGGGTGACTGTCAGTCATTTTGGTGCCACCCCTCCAATGGTGTCACCCGGGGTGCGGGCTGCACCCCCCGCACTCTCCTTGTGACGCCACTGGCAGAGAGCAGGGGGCTGGCTTGCTTGCTGTGCCTGTGTGCTTGTGGAGACACACACAGCTTACTAGCACACACAAGAGTGGCTCCATAGCACCCACCCTAAAACAGAATATCAGGGCCAGTGCTCAGGGGACCAGCTGATTCTGCAGGAAACTAAAACTTTTAAACATCAAGGAGCAGCATCCATTGTAAGTGATTTCATAAGCAACATCCTCAATACCCTTCCAGACTGGCCTGAAAACCACAGTCCTTTTTTTTACATCTCATCCCAGCAGGTGACCATTGGAACACTCACCAAGTAGAAGACAAAAACAGCATCCGTGTTTTTCTAGCCCTGTCGTCAGACCATTCATTTCCACAAAAATCTCCCAATAAGATCAAATGTGCATTTAACAGATTTTATGCCTATAAAAAAAAACTTGTGCAGACAGCCAAAAGCCCTGGGACTTCTTTTGGACATGTTTGTGATAATGCAGCGCCATCCGCATGTCATACCAGCACCCATCTACCTTATGGGATTCCGGTCAGGAGTGCTGTGGATTACACATTACTGATTACCCTACGCATTGACACACAAAAACGTGTGGTCAAGAATCGTGTAAAGCTCACAGCTTCATTGTAGGGCAGCCCATTGGAATGAATGGCCTGTCCTGCACTAGCGCACAGCAAATGCAGCAAAATGTTCATAAATGTGATACTCATTCATACACGCCGCAAGTCTGAATGGGGCCTAATGGGGGCCATACACAACTCAATAAATGAAAGTGATGCAACAGATTTAAGCGACAATAGGTCATGGGGGACTATCCTTCAATAGACCAATAACAATACCCCTGTGGGGGGGATTTCTCTCTACTTCCTGCCCTGGGAACTTTACAGAAAGTAGAAGGAAACATCTCTAAAGTGAGGGCAAATCCCTTCTTAAACAGTTGTCCCCAGAGGCATCCCTAGCTTTTTTGATGCCTAAGATGGGGGGGATGCAACATCCCGCTGGGCCTTTTGTCCTGGCAACTAGTGACATCACTGGTTGCCAGGAGCTCAGCGGGATGCCGACAAGAGCATCCCAGGTTGCTAAGAGCTGGGAGGAAAGATGTGTATGGCCCTTACACTTCTCCCCACCGGTTCTTAGCAACCTGGGATCCTCTGGTCGGATAAGGCCCCCCCCAAGCCAGCAGAGGCAACAGTCTCAGGGTGCTATAGGGACAGCCCTGTTTGCCACCACCCGCAATATTTCTCCTCCCCTCCTGTTTCATTTGCAACTGTAAGATTTGGGATTGCTCATCAGTTTCTGTGATAATGGTCACCAGTACTTATAGAGTGGACAAGTTTCCCCAACAAAGGAACATACAGCAATAAAAAACAGAAGCCTTCCCTACTCTCCAGACAATCCAAAGCTAAAAAAAGTGTGCCTTTACCTACAGTTTAAATGTCATTTTGAAACCCTCGCTATAACTGAAGGACAAGTTTAATGGTACAAGTTCTTGGAAACTCTTGACAGGTATTCTAGTCATGCTGAGATGACTCCTGTCTGTAATGTCAAAGGTCAGTCTGGATACCAGTCTGTCAGACAAAGCCTTGACAGTATTATTTGTCTCCCTGGGGAAGGTACATTGCCCCTGAGGTATTCCAACCCTGAGGCCCTTATTATGCACCTGCAGAGCTACAGGAAATTCAGCGGATTACTACTCATTGTCAGACAAAGGAGAACTAATTGGGAATTAGTTGACACTTCTTTATCAGCACCTACTTCTCACCTCCAGCTCCAAGCACACAGCAATCAGTGTGTAAATGATGGCGCTGCTCACACAACAGCTCACATACCAGGAACCATGTGGATAAGGAGTTAACCTTTGACTCAGCAAGACAAGGGGGCTTCCCTGCCTAACACATCACGACTTTCCGAGACCTACAGAGCAGAAGGAGAAGCCGTCCAACTTTGTAACATTGTGAAATATAAATGAGCGCTCCCACTAGGAGGACTTGGATTCAGCGCAGTCATTTTAAATATACTACAACTCCTTCTATTTAAAAAATGTTTATGGTGCTCCCATTCTCAACTGTATGAGGCATATTAATGAGCACTTCTGATCCACTTCTGAAGTATCCAAGAAAAGATCAGCACTTCCACTTAAAAAGTAAAATCACTATTTATTTCTTCTCCTAAAAAACAAGAAAGCTGAACACTTTGGGAATAATGTTTTATGGATATTAACATTGGTCCAGCTTGGCTCCTTACAAGCAGGGCCATCCCTATAATGAGGCATCTCATTGGATCACGGGTGCACACCTGCCGCCCTCTTTATCGGCAGAGCATCCCAGGGTGCTAAAAGCTCTTAGCAATCTGTGACGCTCTGGGCGGCATGCCACCCATCTCACTGACTGGCAGTTGTCCTACTCTGGCTGGTGTCCAGCCCAGTGATGTCAGTGAGCTGGGCGGGATGACGTTGTGCACCATGAACCACCCCATCTCACCTCCCTCCGGAACCCAGAATGTCCACCACAAGTCGCCAGCACCGACCGATCTCTAGGGATTCCCTTGCTTACAAGTGTCCATATATGATCTCCATGGGCCTCTGGGGATTGTGAAAAAGTAGTTCACACATAGCTGCACACTTAGCTGCCGGTGGGCATCTTGGTGATGGATGCCGGCAAAGAGAGGAGGAAACATTTACCTGGAGGGATAAGCTATGCCGCCAGATGCCCTCCTCTCTGGTGCAGTCGTTGGGCTCTTGGTCCGTGACCGAGTGCCCAACTCTTCAGAGGGGGGTGACACCAAAATGATTGACGGTCCCCTCTTACGGTGTCACTCGGTGCAGGCTGTACCCCCTTGTAACACCACTGGTTCACACTACACACAATGATAGCTGTGATCTTCACGCTGTGGCTCACGTGGATTCCCCTCTACACAATGAGCAGAGGCAGTCACTTGCCCAGCAGTGCCCCTGCTGCACTGAAATCCCAAGCAGTGTTTTCAGATCTGGCTCATGCAACTCAACTATATAGAGCAATAGCAATTCTATTAGCATGTTTAAAGGGATATTGGAGATGTCCATCTGCAATGTTGCAAACAAAGAAAAGTTTGGCTTCCTGGTTCGTACCCGTTCCTCTCTGGTTAGCTTGAAACAGCCTTACCCGTACAATTTTGTTGTGAGGGTTTCCTATATCATGTTGTCTACGGTACCTCCACCACTGAGTGCGCATCTTCAGTGCATTGGCTAGTGAGGTACTCTGTATGTGTGTAGGGTGGTTCTAAATTGTCATTACATGTTTCTGATTTCCAAAGAGAAATGATCCTTTGATTGTGAATGTACTTAGGCTGCATACACAATTGCTAATGGGGTCAATTGGAAGAGCCTCACAAATTGCTTGTGAGACTCATCTCAGTTGCAAGTGAAAATCGCTAAACAAAGCAAGGATATTGTAATTGGACATGCTGCATTTACCTGCAGACAATCGCCCCTGGACACAAACTGTTTGCAACTTGTGAGACTCACCCAATTGGCCCTATTTGCAAGTGTTAATGGAACCTAAAGGTATCATTGCACTGGTCAGAGTTTGAATGCCTCATAGTTGCCAGACCATTTGTAAACCTGGGAAGAAGGAGGATGGAGTGTACTTGTTTTTTTTTCCAAAATTCACGCTGCACGTTCCCTGACTCGGGAAAAAAACATTGCAGGGAGACAGAATAGCATAGGGAAAGGATAGAAATAAAACAGAGTAGGATAGATTTGAAAACAACGAAGAAAGGACAGAACCCATGTCAGCTTCTA